TGAAGTATCATTACCACTATGTCAAACCTATTTTTTTTTTACCAATTCATTCAATTTCACAGCAAAACATGATGTAGTTTGCAATGCTGCCATTAGGGGTGGAAGAACAGTGTCATCTTTCAATGAAGTTACAATGCTAGGACTAAACCTGTTCAGAGCAAAACTTTAAGGGAGCATAAGAACTGTTACATTGAGATGGGGAGAAAGTGAATTGCATCTCCTGGTCCTGCACTACACTCCAAACCCCTCCCCTTTATAATTGCCCTATGAATAGGGGATCCAGGTTCACAATGCAATAGTTTTCTTCAGATAAGTAAAAGAAAGCCATTCTGAGACTTTCTATCAAAAGGCCTAACTACACTGGGATTGTCAAATTATTCCCCACTTGTTTTACATTCTTTTGACTGGCATTGATCTTAAAAATCAATCCAGTCCTTCCTCATTCTATATGCATCCTGGATTGATGCAATGGTGAAAGGAATTGGAAACATCGTTCCCATTCTTTTAAAGAACTTTGGAAAAATAATTGCCAAAGCAGGGTCCTGCAATCAGTGGCAATCTGCTCCAGGTATCCTGAAATGAAGTGGAGAAGTTGGGTTCAACCCATCATCCCTTCATCTATACTGTTCCCATACTTGTTCAGGTCAACTTTCATCACAGCCTCTATGTGCTCTGAAAGCCATTGGAAGGTCTCAAATAAAGAGAGCAGAAAAAAGTCATTCTAGTCTTCAGAGTTAGGTGTCTTCTTTCTTTAGGTAAATTTTTCTGTCATGTTGGTGAAACAAGACTTACAGTGTCCCAATCCTTATCATACTTTATAAATACTTAGGTTCTTTGTTCTAAGTTATACGACTCAAAAAATCACCAATTGCAGCAACAAAGAAGCGGATCAAAATGTTAAATAGGGAAGATCTCATATGAGGAGGGCTCTAATGTCTTCCTTCTCAGCAGCCTCCAAGTAGCTGATACCATCATATGCTCTCAAAAAATCACCAATTGCAGCAACAAAGAAGCGGATCAAAATGTTAAATAGGGAAGATCTCATATGAGGAGGGCTCTAATGTCTTCCTTCTCAGCAGCCTCCAAGTAGCTGATACCATCTGGAGTACTGCCAGATTTGTTTGCCCCCTGCAGAATGTAAACATAAGTCAATTAGACCTGCAGCTAGACAACAAAAGCAAAAAATAATGGAAATCAAGGGTATGGGCTCAGAACACAACTCTATATTTGTTTCTGGTGCATAAGTTTAAACAGTCCTCAGCAGCTGGTTTGGGCAGCTTGACTTCTAACCAAGTTGTGCTGAGAAAAGAAACCTATTTAAAAGTTTTACAATGAAGAAAATCATAACAATTCAGATGCTAATTTAAATATTCTAGAACTGATAAAAATAATAATCCTGATATATAATACAAACTGATCCAAACCGCAAGCTGGAGGGAGGATTGAAGTCTACTTGGGAGTTGCAAATGAGATTGACAGAATCCCCTGGCTGAGAATCCTGCACTAACCATTGCCATGGCCAGGATTTTACCAAAGGGGACTAGAATTTCCCTACCTTCTCCTAAATAAATTTATTTTCTCCTGCTTGGTTGCTGAAATAATGCCTTCCATTTCACTAGATCAAGTATCCCTCAAATGGCCTGTTCAATAAAAATCTCTTCAGATTCACAAGCTATTCACAATCATGCAGTGAAAAATAATCATCATGAATACAGAGACCTAATTTCATGACCATTTCAACAAAATGAGTTGCCTATTGTCCCACCCATGAAGGATACATCCCACTATGCAAATACAGGTGTCTTTGCCAAATTGCTTTCAGATAAAACTGGACAGAGATGTTTTCTCATTTGTGGCATGTGTTGGCCATGAGATGTCTGAGACTCCTGATCCTGTAATGCAGATAGACTCTTTGCAATTCTCCCAGACAGCATAATCTACCATGTTGAGGACCTAACAATGCAGGGATCAAATGTTTGGCTCAATGAGGTCAGGTGTCTGCTTGTTGAGAAAACGCACAGTAGCTGCTTATCTGAGATATTACGTACTTTCATGATGAAAGTCATTATACTCAAAGAGAATCATTACTTAGTGTAATGTAAATGCAATTGAAATGACTTCATTGCATGAATCAGAATTGAAATTGGAATCACTGCATAAGAGAATAATAACTTCATCAACATGATAGTGCACTCTCTCATATATCTGCAGCAAATCTACAATTCCTCAACACAAAATCACCAGATTTATAATTGAAAAGAACATGCAGCCCCTGTTTATTCCATATCTTAATCTGGTAAATTATACTCTATAGTATTCAACAAAATGTTTGGGGAAAACCGCAGAAAACAAAAAAGAATCTATTGACTTCACAGGAACTAGGACCTCAAACAGCTCCATGGACTGGGAAACAGTGTCGGTGAATTTTTCATTTTAAAAATTTTGAAATGACTTCCACATTTGCAGGGTCAGGTGGACAACCATAGGCAACAAATTGACTAATTTTTCTGTTGACAATGAAATGTGAGCTTTCATGACCATGATAATGAATTTGACCTTCATGTTGATCAAGATCAATATAATCAAGAGGAAATCAATGTTTACTTTTTAATGGCCCATACTGCAAAATCAGATCATCAGATACCGGGCAACATAATTGGCTGCACTTTGGAGAATAGAGTAGGGTCCAAATTGCCGAGTTGAGTATGTGGGCATTGTAAATATACTAGTTGGACTTGACACGTTATATTGAGCAGTCATTATGAATGTGCCATCACTATTTTATACCTTATGTAAAGTTATCCATAAATATCAGGAGTGAATCTTTCTGCTGATGAACTGTGCCTTAACAGGCAATTTTTCAAAGCAAGGAAACAAGACCTACACCATAATGTCTTGTTTCTTTACTTTTGCAGAGTGATCATAATAGAAGGTTTGCAATGAAGAGTTTTTCATGCTTCCTCTTCCATGAAAGTGGAACAAAGTAGTTGGAATCAGGAAATGTGTCAAAACTAAATAATAATAAGATACAAACACTAACATGTTGGAGAAGAAGCTTCACACAATCTGTATGACCTTCCCAGATGGCAGCCAGTAGGGCACTAATCCCATGCTTGTCCTTGGCCTGTCAACAAAAACTCACATGAGTAAAGCACCTAGAACTAGACCTAGGAGTCATCAGAATTAAAAGAAGATAATGGCCACCCACATCAACATTGGAGCCTTTGTTGATCAAGTACTCCAAAACCTCCTTCTGACCATAATCAGCAGCATAATGCAATGGCAATCTTCCATCAATATTTTCATTCACATTTACACCCTGAAAGAAAATGATCCATCAAGTTAAAATTAGAGATAATTATTATATCCACCATAATGTCTTATCAGCACTCATTATCCTAAATAAATAAAAACATCCAACAAAATCTGTATCTTTACAAGTAGACCAAAACTTTAAACAGTGCTTCCTAATGAATGAATAAAGACATTAGCATTGGCATCAAATCTGATCTGACACATTTATCTATTAGGGCCAAAGTGGTTTCAAATTATCCAAAATATTCCAATTATACAACCAACTAGAAAATGAAAATTGTTACGGAACAAGACTTTAGGAGAAGTCAATTAAATGTATTAATGAAAAAAACTTATTCTTAACTATTTTCTTTCTTAATTGCATTTTCTTGGAATTTTAATGACCTTCAAAATTTCTGTATACAGTGCTTTTCGAATGAATTCACCCATACCTCCCTGCAGTAGGCAGTGGTGCTACTGGGTGTGAGAAGAGAGTGAAAACTGTTTTTCATCCCATAAACAGTTTAACTATCCACATTTGTGATCCCAGCCAGTTACCACTACCACCATAGACCAGAATGAAACCTTGAAGGAGCTTTGCAAACTTGACACAATACAGCTAATCAGAATGTGCAAGAACCAACATTCTTAGAACAAAGTTCGAGTGAAGTGAACTTTGAGGAATGTAAGAGCACCAAAGTAAAACAATATTGTCACCTTGTCATTGATGCAATCACGAAATTAGTCATATATCAATTGGATGCATTTTTATTTTGACCTTACAATTTTATCATCCATGAAAAGACACATGGAAAAAATTCCTAACTCTCAATATTCCAGGAAATCCAAAGTTGAGTAGGAATTGTTAACTTTCTGAATCTTTCTCCCTTAACCCCTTCTAAATATATGATGTCATATGCCATCATGTCTGTATTTTTTAAATGAATAAATAAATTTGTGAAATTCTTTTAGTATTTCAGTGTATGAACCAGAACTACCCTATGATTTGATATGCATTTCTTTCACACATATTTTGTAACTCAGCCCTGAAAGGGTAAATTAAAAAAGCCTTGGTTTTCACTGAAGCTTTGCTTTCCCTTTCCCTTCAAGAAAAACCTCAAACCTCTATGTTCGATGTACTTTTCAACAAAGAAGAAGAAATGGACAAGAATCCAGTCAATGCATATGTCAATTAATATAATGTAGAAATGCAAGAAATTTGAAGAGGATAGAATGTAGATGAGGAGAAAGTCGAAATGCTTTTTATTGGACACAGTACCCCCCCAGTCTAAATAATGATCGTGAAACCTTTCATAAGTCAATGGGTATCACAAATGTGACTCTTAAGATCGAAATGAAGGAGCCCATAGTAAGAGGGGGGTAAATTCATTCAACAAGCACTGTAGATGCTTTCAGACATGTTTCTTTGGGAATTCTTTTGTACATTCATCCAATTAATCAGACAGGAATCATTAGAAACTGCTAGACTGTCAGGCATGACTTACTTTTTCCACATGCTCTTTGACCTGTTCTAGGTCGCCATTCTTTAGGGCCCAAACAAAATCACTCATTGCTTCTCATTGCCCAACATGCAACCTATAGAAACAGGAGGAAATGTTCAGCTTCAGAGATGGGTTGCATAGGCCTTAAATGCAATCCAAGACCATATTGGGTAGCCATATATCTCAAAAAACAGAAATATATCATTTAAAAAGATGCATGCCAAAAGTCAATTTACCCTAGACCAATCAGACCTGTCACTAATTGCAATACTATGATGATATTTGATGTTTTCCCAATTGGCAATACCACAATTGCCTTTTTTTTTTCTTCTTTTTTTTAGCCTATTGCCACTTTTCAACTGTATGTTCATATGGTAGCTTGCAGGAGAAGCTACCCATGGAAGGGACACTTAATGAACATTCTCCCATATTATTAGACCTATGTAAGAGATAATGAAAAATACAAGCAGAAAATTTGTACTGCCATTTGATATCCCCAGAGTAATTAATGCCATGATGTGAGGCTTACACAAAAGAGGGGGGGAATACAATATTTTCTAATTAAATATTATTCCAGTTCTTGGAATCATCACATTTTCCCATGGGTCCTACCATTGAGTTACCCCAAGAGCTAGTCTCATCAGTATACCCTTCCATCATTAATGACAAATGTGATTATTAGATGTCTTTTAGGCACCAATGACAACAGCACCAATGAACAAAAGTAATCAATCTGAAAAATACTACTGATAGGATTATGTCACCATACTTTGATGGCATCACCTTGCAGTTCCCCCTAACCAATACACATTGTCTCCTGACCTTTTTCCTGTAAAGCAAAGACCTTTAAGACAAAAACTGCCTCAAGGTCACATAGTCACAAGCAAAAACTAGAGTACCAGCCCAAGCACAGATCTGTCATTCCATTGGCCAATACAATTGAGCACCATAAACACCACTTTATAACCAGTTACTGCCAACCAAATCTCATTGGTGATGTTTATTTGAATCTGAAGATAAAGTAATACAAAGGTATACACTATCACCCTACAAGAGGCTGCTATGGCAAATGCAGATGGATGGAACCTACAGTAATGACAGATAAGCACCAGTAAACCTTTCCTTTTGCTCTTTAAAGCAGTGGTTCTCAACCTGGGAGGTGTCACCCCCCCGAATGCATGAATTTTCAATGGGAGTAAAAGGAAGGTTGAGAACCACTGCTTTAAAGACTCAAGAAATAGCAGTAAGTGATTTCCATCAGCACCCTAGGGTTTCTTTCCTTCATATTTTTTATTTCCACTTGGGGGAATGCTAATTTCATTATATTAATTGATTTAGTTGGTGATAATGATCTCTTTAAAACCATGACTGCACAGCCTTAATGCTTAATGTACTGGTTGGGGGACCCTCTGGTCAGAAGACTTGAGTCAACAACAGTGAGGACCATGGATGTTAGTTATTTTCTCAACAGTCTGGCTCCAATACATAAAAAGCTCCTGGAAAACCATATCCAAAGGAAATTTGTAGAGGTAGGCATATTTCCAAGGGAAGCCAAAGCCTTTCATGTTGGAATCTAGGTCAATCACAGGCAATCCCTATGCCTACCTAATTAGAAGGTTCCAGGGATATTCCTTCAAATTAAGATTACACTGAATCTGGATTTAACTCATTGACTGAACCTATGTTCAAGAACTCAAACCAAAATCTATCAATCCTCATATACCATTAAGCTTCTCCCTTTACTTCATGCCACTCAAGTTAATGAAAGAATTAATTTTATCCATGATCAACTTCAACTTAAAAACCCAGCATTATGTCTCGTGGCTACGTATTGGCTTAGGATTAGGAGAAAGCCTGGAACAGTTTGTGCGACGGCAAATTCGACAACCTCTAACCCAAGAGTCCGGTGACACCTTGGAAACCTTCGCGAAGGAGTTCTCCTTACTCCAAAATAAAGAAAGCCCGCTAACGGGTCAGTCTTTCCTCTTGGGATCTTTGCAACTGTGAATCCAAGGAGAAGAAAGCAGGACATTCAAGTGATACAGGAAGAACAAGCGGCTCTCGTGAGCCATGCATTCGGATGTACGGCGCCATCTTGGTTTTCAACACTTTCTTGTTGAGTTGCATGCGTGGCTACGCGCTGCTGGCCTTCTCTTAATTGCCTGATCTGGTTTCATTATCTTTGTGGGGGGCCGTTGTCCATTATAATTAATCAATTTTACATGCTTATCAGCTCTACATTTCCCTTTTCCAGTTCGTCCGACAAAGCAAGAGGAGATCGTAAGAGAAATTTCCGTGTCTGAATACCTCATAGACATAACAAGGGTTCGGAAACCTATGGCTCATGAGTGAATTTGGCTCACGAACCGAAAAGTTTTGTTCATTGAGTCATGACTGGAAATCATGGTTGTTCCTCACCTTTCTCATTTATCAAAAAATGCATATGTCTATTGCCAACTTTTCCTGAGTTGCCAGCAACTCAGAAAAAATTATGTTCTGAAAATCTTTCGCTCCCAAGCACTTACCTCAATCTCAATATGACTCACATGGCCAAAAAGGTTCCCGACCCCTTCCTTATACTAAAAAGACTGGGGACTCTGCGGCGGTGCCTCTGATTGAGCCATCCCCAAAATTAAATCTGTGAAGCTGTTTAACTTCGCTTTATCATATCTTTACGCTTGAATATCGCTTTAAACTTTTAAGGTTGGATATAATTGTCAAAAATGTGAAATATATCAATTTTCTGTTTTCAGCATTTTTCGATTGAAGAATGCGTCCCTGGTGGTTTTTTTTAAATGCTGTTTGTAACGCTATTTGTGCTCTCTTACATGGCGATTCACTTTGAAAGGACAGTGAATTTTAGAGTGAAATTTTTTCATATTTTAAATTTCGGGTTCCCACCAAAACTAAAATCCATCTTGCTCAGTAACTAGGGAGGATATCAACTTGAAATTTTCACAGAATGTAAAGAACATTCGATACTTGGCTTTGAGCAAAAAAAAAATCGAATTTCATATGGGTACAAGTATATGTTCCAGTGGAATGAATCATTTTCGCCCTTCCGATGAATGAAACTCATTTGTAATCTTTATTGAATCTTTCATTTTTCACCCGATCAAAAAATCGCTGGTTTGAAACATTGCTTGATGTTGTAGAAATGCCCCTTCTAAATTTGGTGCGGACATCAATAATAGTTTTTGAGAATTTTTTAATTTACATAGTAGGTGTCATTTGTGTGCCGGCCATCATGGACCACGCGACCGAATTTGCATAATTGGATCGTTCTAATAAAATCATTTCGTTTCCAGAGTTATATATTTTATATATATGTGGGGGGGGGGAATGGATGGATCGAACTGACCCCCTGGGATATCAGGAAATTTCCGGGGGGTGGCAGGCCTAGTAAAAAATCTATAAATGGGATTATAGTGAACATTAATTGCAACTAATGACCATATACTGATGTTGATTCTATGAGCACTGCCAAATTGCGTAAAGCTATAAAAATTGTTAATAATTATGATGAAGTTATGAAATTTACCTTGTTTTAGAGGCTCTCATTTTTGCTCTAAAATATTTCCCGGAGGGCCCCTAGGCTGCCGGTCCGATCCTGGGTCATCGTGAGGAAGGACCTATTTCCAGCCATCCCCCCAATTAAAAAATCCCATTTCGAGCACTGTCCACTCCAAATTGTAGCGGCAGCTATCGGAATCTCGAGAATGCTATCTGGGTCAACCAGTGAGGTTGTACGCACGCACAATTGAACGCGAAACGTCAGCATAGTCATGAAGTGATCTCAGGAATTTTTTTTTATATCAGAGCATGATCTGACTCGATCTACATGGCTGCTTTCTGCCGGCTTTTAACCCGTGAATTTTTATTTATGACGCCTGCCATGTCATTGTCTTATGCCGTAGGATGAGACACTCAAAATATGTCATTCCCTATATGCTCATTTTTCGTCCTTCCTCTCGATCGTATTATGCTGAGGATCTCGATGAACTTACTGAAAATATTCCCAAAAAGGATGGAAAACGTCTTCAAGTTGAAGTCTCTCCGTCTCGTCTCACTGGACCGGATGCCAAACATGGAGAGTTTGTGAAGAAGGAGTCAGTTTAACTTGAGAAATTTGGGATGGTTTGCGCTGCGGAAGACCCTCAAGGTTTACTCGCTTTTGATATCCTGCGCTTGATTCTGAGCGGTCGACTTTCCTTCCGGGTGAGCATGCAGACGAGGAACACGCTCCGCCTGCCGTTTCAAAGCATTCTCACTGGTTGTCAGCTCTCAAGACGTTTCCAAGGAAACTCTTAAGAGCACTCTGTCTTTCGGTAATTCGTCCCCGGTCGAGAGGAAGATGGTGTCAAAGATGGAGCTCACTGTCGTAGAGCAGTTCGCCTTACGTCAATGGGCTCAATGCTCAATGCATATTCTAGTATCCATTCTGCTTTTTTGGCCTGGAGGTCACGAATATCTTCTAACTTATTCAAAGAAGACAATGTTTGCTCTGACAAATCCGTCGTAAAATCCCTCCACTCTACTTTGTGCCACTCACGGCTCTATGTATGATGGATATTACCTTCTTGGGATTGACCCGGGAAAAAGCTACGCATACGTTATACTGTATTTAAAATTTAAAAAAATGACAGTAAGTAGACAAATGGATATTCAGTAAACACTCATTTGCTCGAACTTGTTGGGACCGGACAAATCGTTTCGAATTATTCGAAGTTCCACTCATCAGGAATTGCCTCTACCTGTATAATAAATAAATAAATAATAAATTACTCACTTTAAGGGATATAATAGGGAAATTTTTCCCTCCTCGAGAATCCGATTTCAAGGAGTGACGACCTTCTCATTATAATTAGCTATTTTTCATGTCTTGGGTTGATATTCCATATGCAAAATTCATTCATCACAACGCCCTTCATCTGGTCCTCCGAAAACCAAATATGACTGGAATGCCCGGAAGTGAGAGCGATAAACTGACATGGAAAGTGCAAAAGGTTGCTTCTTTTTATAGCAGAATCTTTTCGGTTTTAATTCTCATTTTAATCCTCTCTACAGGCGTCTGCGAGGGAGGAGGGAGAAGCAGGAAAAAAATAAAAAGGATTTTC